GGGCCAGGGGCTCCCAGCTGCCACTACCGCAGCGGAACCCTGGGCCCTTTAAATCTCCGCCTGAGCCCCCAGGGCTCTGCTGCGGCCAGGAGCCCCTGGCCCTTTAAATCACTGCCGGAGACCTGGGCTGCCACCGTTACCCCAGGGGCTCCAGCAGTGGGGCTCGGGCAGAGATTTAAAGGGCTCAGGCTCCGGCTGCTGCAGGGAGCCCGGGGCCCTTTAAATTGCTGCCCGAGCCCCGCTGCCGGAGCCCTGGATTAGCGGCAGCGGGGCTCCAGGAGTGATTTAAAGGGCCTGGGGCGCCCAGCTACTGCAGCCGGAGCCCCGGGCCCTTTAAATCTTGATGTAAAGGGCCCAGGGATTTAAAGGCCCCACCTCTTCCAGTTGAGGCCCCGCTCCCTGCTCAGGACTCCGGTGTACCAGTAAGTCCTTTAAGTTACTTTCACCCCTGCTTAAAGGAATAATGGACTTAATATATTTGGACTGTCCAGGAGAGGGCTTGGCAGTACAAAACATCTATTTCTGAGGTAAAGTCCAGGACTGGGAGTGTGTTGGGGTCACCCTGCAGTATAACCACACCCTGGTGGGAACTAGGGCGTGACTGGCAAGCTGCAGTTACACAAACACATCTGAGAGTGACCTACATGCTAGTGGCTGGTTGTGAGCAGTCTAGGTTGGAGGTTACAATTGCAAGGCATCTCGGGTTACAGGACAGGGGTGACACAGCACCCCACTAGTCTGGATTGTACCCCCATATGTCACACCCACTCTGCCTGGCTATTGGTGCTTGGGTGATAGGCCATTGAGGTAGGGCATTCATACTCAGCATAGAAATTCTCACCAGAAGCAGAAAATAAACAGAGATCCTTGATCAGCTGTGCCTGTAGGCAAGTCATGGAGACGAAAGATGTTGTTCAGAAACAGGTGGGCTTGGTGCTTGTGCTTCCAGGGACCATAACAAAAGATTCCCTTCCACAGCAAAGCTCTGAGAGGACTGGCCAAACCAGAGAATTCTGGGATAAACAGTCTATAAAAGTTACTGAAATCCTAAAAGCATTGGATTCCATGAACATCCTTTTGTGCCACCCAATCCATGATGGCCGTTATCTTGCGAGGATCCATTATCAGTCCCTTGGCAAGATAACATATCCAACAAATTCAAGAATGTCCCAGTCAAATTTGTATTTCTTTGGCTTGGCATATAGATAATTTGTAGTCTTTGAAGAACGTTATGCATGTGCTTGTCATGAAGAGCTAGGTCATCTGACAAAATCAGAATATCATCAAAGTAGATAATGACAAAGTGGTTCAGCATATCTCTGAATGTATAGTTCATAAAGCATTAAAAAGTTTGCTGGAGCATTTCATAGGTCAAATGGCATGACTAGGTATTCACAGTGGCCATATCGAGTATGAAAAGTGGTCTTCCACTCATCCCTCATACATGTGCATCAGATTATAGGCCCCGCGCAAATCTAACTTTGTGAAAATACAAGCCATGCTTAGCTAATCTGAATTAATTGATAAGGGGAAGCAGGGAGCAGTTTCAAACAGTCACCCTGTTCAGGGCTCAATAGTCAATACATGTCTGACAAAAAAGATCAGCATGCTCTTCAGGGATGTGGACATCCGGATGAAACCCTTCTGAAGTTTCTCCTGCAAGTATATGTGGAGATCCTGCAGTTTGGGTTTGGAGAGGACATATATCCAAACAAATGAGATCTCAGCTTTGGGCTGGAGATCAATCAGGCAATTGTAAGTCTGATGCAGGGGCATGATGTCTACCTTCCCCTGGTGAAAAACATTGGTGAAGTCATGATATTTGTGGGGGATATTGGCCACGGTAGGCAGAACTGAAGGAGGCACTGAGGCTTCTGGCAGTCTTGCTCCCTGAGGGTCGGGGTCTTCTAGAAGGCAGATTAGCCGGCAATACTGGGATCTGAAGTGTAGGATCACCATCCACCAATGAATGTGGATGTTAGGCCAAGTCATACCTAGAATGACTGAAGCATCAGGGGCCCAAATTAATCTGAGTTGGAGGGTTTCCTGATGTCCCCAGACAATGAGAACCATTACTGGCAAGGTCGGTTAGGTTATTGGTCCCGAGGAGAAAAGAGACCCATCAATAGTCTTGACCAGATCTGAAGAGTTCTTACATATGTTGGGAACCGCGTGGGTCTTAGCAAAATTCAAGTCCATAAAGTTAACATGAGCCCCTTGAGTTGACCAGGGCCTCTACATGAATCTTATCACTTACCAGAAGTTGAATCAATAGAGGTATTTGGAGTTGCACAGGGAACTGACTTGGGGGTACTGCTGTGCCAACTATGGCCCAGGGGTGCTGGGAACTACTGGAGTGGGGAGAAGACCAGCTCTGCCCTTGGGGCTGAGGAGCTGGCATTTCCTGGTCCCAGTTCCACCTGAGTCTTTGTTGGACACATCAAGGCAAGATGGCCAGGTTACCCACAATACAGGCACAAACTTAATACCAGATGTCGGTGTTTCTTTGAGTCAGAGAATCAAACTGGTTGGTTTGCAACTGCTCAGATGCCAGGGAAGACCCGTTCGGATGGGATGTTGTGGACAGGATGGCTGGCAACCTCCAAAGAATCCAGGTATGCTTGCAATGCTGCTCCATGAGGAGTTATTTGATTCTGATGTACAAGTTGATAAGCTCATTCAAACTGGGCAGAGGCTCACCCATGTGAGCTCGTCCTTTATAACCTCATTAGCCCCAGGCAGAAATAGTGGTGCTCTGCCATCTCATTCCACCCAGTGTCAGAAGCCAAACAATGAAATTCAGTGGTGTATTTGGTGAAGTGCCAGCATCCCTGCCGTAAGGCTTGAAGGATTGTCTTGGTCGCCTGTGCACTGTTGGGGACATCAAAGATAATGCATATGGCTTGAAAGAATTTGCCTAATTGTTACAAGAGGGGCCTGGACTGTTCCAGGAGGAGGGAAGCTCAGGCCAAAGCTTCCCCAATCAACAAGCTTAATATGAGTTCCCCTCTCTCCCCCCATTGGCTTGGTCAGGAGAGAATGATCTACAGTATAGTAAGAACAGGAGCCAATGTTGGTTCAAGAACCCCTGAAACTCGTCCTGATCACCATCAAATTCATCAGGCAGTGGAATCTTCAGCACTGGGAGGGGTGGGGACAGAGTTCGGAGAAGCCAGCAGAACAACATGTGGCTACAGAGCCGCATTCTGTGATTGCAGAATGGTTAATTGTACCTGCAGATTCTGGACAGTGTCCACCAGTCCTGATGGGACCTTGCTTCGAAGACCCCTGTCCTTAATTTTTTGAGGCTGCTCAATCTGTCAGGCAACTGGGATGAGGGTAATCTAGCCTAGTGATAAGAGCAGTGGCAGGCCTAGTGGTTGGAACAGGCATTGAGAAGCATGAACTAGAATCAAAACCAGAGTCAGTAGTTGGAAGCTGAAGTCAAGGGTAAAACCAGAGGAACTAGAGCAAGCAGGTGGCAGGCAAGGAGGGTGTCACAGTCTGGGGTGCAATCCAGATCAGTGAGGGTTGTGTCACCATTTTAGCTCTGTAATCTTGGGTGCCTCACAATGCTTTGCTGTTGTAGCTGCCAACCTAAAATAATAAAATAATTAAAATAAAATAATGGAGATATCCCATTTCCTAGAACTGGAAGGGACCTTGAAAGGTCATTGAGTCCAGCCCCCTGCCTTCACTAGCAGGACCAAGTATTGATTTTGCCCCAGATCCTCAAGTGGCCCCCTCAAGGATTGAACTCACAACCCTGGGTTTAGCAGGCCAATGCTCAAACCACTGAGCTATCCCTCCCTCCAACCTTGGCCACTCACAACCACCCTATGAGCATGCAGGTCACACCCTGATTGTCTATGTGCTAGACAGCCCTGATTCAGCAGATCTGACCCCTGCGGTCTGTGTACAGCCCCACAACACTACTCTGTATTCTATCAGCCTTAGTTACTACTAGCAGGATGATCCCAACACACTCCCAGTCCCAAATTTTCCCAAAACTATGTGCTCTGCACTGTCCAGCCCTCTCCTGGTCAGTTGAGAGAAATAAGATGTTTTTTTTTGCTCCTTTAACAACACAAAAACGCATCACAGCACATTAACTTAACTGGGAGTGAATACACCCTTTCTTTTAAACATAGAACTAAGTTGATTTATGGTAAAATAAAACAAAGTTATTAATAGGACTTAGGTTAAGTGACGGTAAGTAACAGGAATAAAGTTAGAAAGGGTTACAAGCAAATAAAAGTGAAAACATGCATCTAAAAGTCTAAAACTTAATCTAGCAAGATACAGGCTTTGTTCAAGGTAGTTCCTCTTACCAGTCATTCTTTTTCCTAGCCATGGCTGACTTTCCCTCATAGAGAACCTTCCACAAAAGTACAAGGTGCAGACTTCATCTAAGAAGACAAGGGAAAGATCTTTACTTAAGCAGGTTTCTCACCTATATTCAGTTCCAGAGACTTCAACCTCCCTTTGGTTGAAGGACCCATCTTTCTCAGCTTGCAAGAGCTCTGGCCTCTTGTTTGTTTAGTGCAGGGGTCGGCAACCTGCGACTCCAGAGCCGCATGTGGCTCTTTGGCTGCCAGCTTGTTTTTTGAGGAAGTGTGAGGTAATCTCAAAAGTAATGGAAATGGTCATGCAGATCGTTAACAAAATAATGGCAAGCGCTCTCAATCATCGGCAGTTTTACAAGATTCTTCAAGACGTTAACAGCCAATATTCTGATCTTCTCATGTATAACAAGGTAAGATGGCTTTCCAGAGGTGCAGTCCTGGTGAGGTTTGCATCATGTCTTGAGGAAATTAGGGTGTTCCTACAAGGAAAGGGCCTTAAATATGTGGCGCTAACAGATCCTCACTGGCTGGAATTCAGAAATTCAGTTTCTTGGTGGATTTAACTTCTCATTTAAATGTGTTGAATCGGAAGCTACAGGGAAAAGGAAATACTGCAATTTTGCTTTTGGAAGAAGTTCTTTCATTTAAACGAAAGCTGTCTTTGTTTGTAAGGGACATTGAGACGGGCGTGTTAGTGCATTTCCCAATACTGAAGCAATACAAACAAACAAATGACTGTGACATTGACATTAGATTTCTTGCAGAAACAGGCATCAGAATGCAAGCTGCATTTGCTGTCCGATTTCAAGAGTGCAGAAGGGAAAAGGCCACTTTGTCATTTCTGTTGAAACTGCTTGAAGCTGAATGTGTTGAATCGGAAGCTACAGGGAAAAGGAAAATACTGCAATTTTGCTTTTGGAAGAAGTTCTTTCATTTAAACGAAAGCTGTCTTTGTTTGTAAGGGACATTGAGACGGGCGTGTTAGTGCATTTCCCAATACTGAAGCAATACAAACAAACAAATGACTGTGACATTGACATTAGATTTCTTGCAGAAACAGGCATCAGAATGCAAGCTGCATTTGCTGTCCGATTTCAAGAGTGCAGAAGGGAAAAGGCCACTTTGTCATTTCTGTTGAAACTGCTTGAAGCTGACACTTCTGCATTGAATTTTTCAGCATTTGCGGGAATCCATCGAGCACAATTTGAACTTGAATTAGCGGACATGCAAGACAAGGATTTATGAATTCAAAATTGAAAGATCTTGTCACTGAACTTAAAAATCTGGAAAGGCAGAAATCCACCATGGGGCTACAACACAAGTGGTCTGAAATGGACGATCTTAAGCGGCAAGACCAGATTATATTCGACGTTTGGAATTGTCTACCGGATACGTACAGTCACCTGAAGAAATACACATTTGGACTTCTCTCAATCTTCGGTTCAATGTACTTCTGTGAACAAGTGTTTTCCAACATTAATTTCATCAAAAACAAACTCTGCACTTGTCCTTGTTGAACCTCATCAGGTTTCTTTTGGCCCAATCCTCTAATTTGTCTAGGTCCCTCTGTATCCTGTCCCTACCTTCCAGCGTATCTACCACTCCTCCCAGTTTAGTGTCATCTGCAAACTTGCTGAGAGTGCAGTCCATGCCATCCTCCAGATCATTAATGAAGATATTGAACAAAACCGGCCCCAGGACCGACCCTTGGGGCACTCCACTTGAAACCGGCTGCCAACTAGACATGGAGCCGTTGATCACTACCCGTTGAGCCTGACGATTTAGCCAGCTTTCTATCCACCTTATAGTCCATTCATCCAGCCCATACTTCTTTAACTTGCTGGCAAGAATACTGTGGGACACTGTATCAAAAGCTTTGCTAAAGTCAAGGAATAACACATCCACTGCTTTCCCCTCATCTACAGAGCCAGTTATCTCCTCATAGAAGGCAATTAGGTTAGTGAGGCTTGACTTGCCCTT